TTTTCGTGCTGCTAGCTGCTGCACTGCTGCCGTTGCGCTTACTGCTGCTGCGTCTGCTTGTGTCTGCTGCTGCCTACTGATGCCTGCTGCTGCCTGCTGCTGCCTGCTGCTGCCTGCGGCGGCCTGCTGAGTAGTAGTAATAGTAGTAGTAGTAGTGGTAGTAGTAGTAGTGCTGCTGCGTCTGCTTGTGTCTGCTGCTGCCTACTGCTGCCTGCTGCTGCCTGCGGCGGCCTGCTGAGTAGTAGTAATAGTAGTAGTAGTAGTAGTACTAGAAGTTGGGGTCGGCGGATATAGAACAGAAAAAATTGCTACCAATGCTGTGTCAGAAAATCCTTTTCCCTTTCGCGCTCCCCCTTGCGCAGCCGGGGTCGGCGGATATCCCATCATGGGATCCAACAAAAATCTCCAAACACGACACGACCTGGTCAGAAATCTAAGTGGCTTTGAAGATTCACCAAGGCCTATGTGGAACCGAAGGACAAGTACGGCCGCGAGGTGGGGCTGACCTAGGTCAATCTTACATGGATACTTTAATCCTTTAGTCTTTTGGTATTAATGGGAATACAGTATCTACTAACCAGCAAAGAATCTATTTTTTTGCAGGGTATCTAAGATTGGCAATGTTTTTTTCATAGAAAAATGTGTTGAACATGATGATCATCCAGTGGATTTAGGGGTAGCCTATTTTCAGAGACCCATATGTATATATCTGGTTGGTGGTTTGGAACATGAATTTTACGATTTTCCATATTAATTGGGAATGTCATCATCCCAACTGACGAACTCATATTTTTCAGAGGGGTAGGTATACCACCAACCAGATATGTATATATGTAATTAAATGTATAAATATGTAACTTGGATATAATTTTCACAGTAATTTTCATGGCATTTCAAAGATTTTCAAAGCAGCATTTCATTAAAATCAAGTGACATAGAAAAGGACAGCACCATTCTACTAAATGTCACTTAAGTGACATAGAAAAAATGACAGCACCATACTAGGTTTACCCTCTGGTAATCCGCTCCATGGTTTGCTGGGAAAAGCCACCATTTCTAGTTCGATGATTTCCCAGTTAGAACCAGGTTTCAATTTACTTCGGGGATGGTGCCATGTTGGATGACAGCAGAGGCTAGTTTGTTGTAAGATCTTACAAGTTACCCGGCCTGGTAAACATACAAAAAGCTATTGAAAATGGCCATAGAAATAGTGGATTTTCCCATTAAAAATGGGGATTTTCAATAGCTATGTTAAATAACCAGAGGGTATCATAGTTTTGTTACTATAGTTATTAGTTTAAAGTTATATTTATAGCCACACCAATAACTATATAACTTATAAACAATCCTAAATGACTTAATTATAGTTTTTATGTTAAACAATCCGATTGCCACACTACGCCCGCATTGTCAAACGCTCGTCCTGTCCTTTTTTCTGGTTCCTATTAGAATGAGACCATGTGATTTTCTTCAGGCTTCAGGGCTTGCCTAAGAACTCGGAAGATTGGTCCGTTTGAAGCTTCCGTGCTGTCAATTTGTTCCATTTTTTTTTGGGGGATACTTCGGATCAATCTACTGAAATGATAAGATATTATGATAAGATCATATTTCTTGGGAATTTTGGGCTTCGGGCGAACAGAATCGGAACAATCACCCACCAGCGGATGTTGAATGATTCTTTGCCCACTTGTTGTTTTTCTGTTGTCACCAAGAATTTGTTGGGTCAACCCATCATCAAATATTATAGATACCCTCTGGTAAACTAACATAACTATGGAAAATCACCATGTTTAATGGGTAAATCTACTATTTCTATGGCCATTTTCAACAGCTTTTTGTATGTTTACCAGTTGCGCAGCCCCACTGGGATGGGGATTGAATTTTCTCCGGCTTTCTGACATGGACTCGACATCAATTTCTGGACATGGCGCCATGGGTTTTTGTTGATGCCCCCATAGTTGTTATGATCTTACCCAACCTGGTTATGACTAACAGTTCGCCATGGGAAAACCATAGGAAAATGGTGGTTTAATGGGATTTAATGGGATCTACCCTCTGGTTATTTAACATAGCCGTGGTTTGTTGATGGCCCTAATCGAAATAGATGGTTCACCGTTCTTAAAAATGGGTGGATTTTCCATGGCGAACTGTTAAGTAACCAGATGGTAAGTCCCATTGGGGCAATCTGTGAGGGTTTTAACTTCGTGATTACAGTAAACTAGCTTGGTTCAGCCCAAATGTCATGTTGTTGTTTACATATCCCAATTACTGTAACCTTTTCTGAAAAGTTGTGGACTTGAAAGAAAATCGAGATGGCCCAAACGGTCAATTTCCTTGAAAACCCTTACTCATCCCAATGATTCTTGGTTTTCGTTCGTGGTAATTTTAAGCACTTTCCGGACACCCATAACCCATTTTCATCGCTGATGATTTATCCCTTGTTCTATCCCTCGTTGGGTTCTATTGAGTTAAGTCCCATTATCTCCAACATAACCAAGCTATGTGTAAATACAGCTATAGTGGTTAGTATAGTGGTTAGTATAGTACAGTCTAAGTCTAGTAGTTAAGTCACCACTATGTCCCCACTATACTCATTCTTCTTGTTGGTTTCTGTCGCGGTGAATCTCTGTTGCCTTGGTTCAACCACTGCAGTCTGTTTTCGACCTGGTCCCTGCCACGGGCATCTTGCAGCCGGGTGAACGGAAGTGCCATGGCGGAGCATTGGGAGTGAGGCATGGAGACTGTCATGGGGAAACCAAGCAATACTGAGGATTCATATGGATTCATTGTTTTCTTCTTACTGGCGCTAAACGTAGGGTTGCTGGATGGGTTGCTGGGGGTTGCTGGGATGGTTCTGAAACTAGTGACTGGGATCATTCCAGAAAATTCCCTGCGTAAAACGCACATTGCGTAAGTTGATGTTCATGGAATTTCACTTCCGAGGTCCGTTCATTCCGCACCAGGACTAGTCATTTGATCATGGAATTTCACTTCCCACATGGAGGTTTCCGAGGTCATAGGGTTACCCCCAGTTCATCATCCATTTTAGATTGGGATTTTCCCTGAAACCAACCAGCGAGGTCATAGGGGTACCCCCAAAAACCCACAAAAACCATCCATCTGAGGGATTTGTTTTTTCGATCGCCCGAAACGCCGACCTCTGTTACAGAGCAGATATCGTCTGGTTGGTGCTTTGGAACCATGGAACCATGTTGGGGTGATGGTAGCACTTGGAGGATCATATATATATATATAAATATATATATATACTGTAATGGTTTGGAACATTGTTTATTTTTCCATATTGGGAATGTCATCATCCCAACTGACGAACTCCATCATTTTTCAGAGGGCTCTGGATTTTTTCCACCAACCAGATGCGGATTGATGGTATATACATGTACATACCAATCATAGATCTGTATGAATTTGATCATGACCTCATGTCACGTGACGTCGAATGAGGGGCATTGGATTCAGGGAATCATCCTAAAAAAATCGCCATATGACAACTCAGCTATTTCAGCTTGGCAGAGGGTACGCCCTATAGGGCAAACTACCCCAAAAAATAATTTGTACACATCCAGTTCAAGAATATAGTGGTAAATTGCAAATTGAACCTTTTCAGAATCTTTTTGGGGTTGCTATAGAACGGTTATGGTTGATTTTCATAGTTAAGAGATGTTAAGAGGGGATATCATGGGGATATGATTGGAGATATAACACACCAGGTGTGAAAACCGCTGTGAAAAGGGGAACTAGACATAACTATAGATCCGTTATAATCGCAATCCGAATTTCAGGTGGATCATGTCCAAGAAGATGATTTTTCGAAGCTATGGGATCATTGGGATTTAAGGTGATTCTTGTGTTTTCCCAATGGGAAATAGACATTTTGCTATTGAACATGGCCATAGAAATCGTTGATTTACATATTAATAGCATGGTGATTTTCCATAGTTATGTAAACGTTTACCAGAGGGTAAACCATTTTAAGCAACTCCAAATTCCAAGCTCCGAACTTGTCGGGATTTCCTGCAGAATTTTACCAACAATTTTGCAATGCTCATCACGCACACGATGCTGAAAATTTAAGGCTGCTGACGGTTTCCTTTGCTCCAATCGGTGCACAGACTTTTTCAGGCGGGATATTGGCTAGCGTTCAGGTTGCTTTCGCTAATATGTAATATTATGTAATGATGTGACTATGACCAGGTATCAGGTGTTCCCAAAGAATTGAATAATTAGTCAAGTGACGATCAATCATTTTGTTCCGCAATGATGCTTGATATTGTTTAAGATAGTTTTTTTGGTTAAAAAACACTATTAGTATGACATGTGATTTATGTCTTTTTGTGTTTGACCGTCGCGGGGGTCATGTCTTGTTCCACCTGTGAAACGGCTTGGATGACCATCCCAAGAATCCCTTTTGATCAGCCTGACGTGACGAATCGACTGGCAGACAGAGATCTCAAATTAACCTTCGAATATGTCAATGCTATATATATATATATATAAGCTTCAGATCCTTGTTTTTCTTCATGCTGCAGTCTCCCGATGTTCGAAAAATTCGGGAGAATCTTCGATGCCAAAGAGAAATATCCCATGAATATCCATAATTCAATCCCACCTGTATGAAATCCCTGAAATCCCCAGGTGTGTTTTCCACCCCGAAATCGCCGTAGGCATTCTGCAGATCCGAATGCGCGACAACCAGCGGCGCAAGAGCATCAACGTGCTTGGCCGCGGTGATGTGCTGCGTCTGGAAGTGAGGCGAAAAAAACGATCCGTCGTTTGTTCAAAAGGGGGGTCTGGGATGGTCTCTGGGAGTAACGAACTAAATAGATTATAGCTGTAACTACTATAACTAGTAATATTATCATTATTATAGTTATATTATTATACCAATATAGTTTCAAGTTTGGTATTATATACCAGTAGTAGAATACGACTTATAACTATAGTAAAGCTGGCATAGTATGCCAATAATGACTGACTAGAACTTATAACATCTTATAACTATCACAATATAAGGACTGAATCGCAGATCTGGGCAGTGACCGAAGCCGTCGTGACCGGTTGGAATCATGGCTATTTTAGAGGGAAATCAGCACCTTTTATGGCCGATTCAGATTCAGATGAGTGAAACATTTAATTTACCCAGATGGATTATGGCTATAACTACTATGACTAGTATTAAGAATAATGACTATAACTATAACACTATAACTACAGGGGGTAAAGGATAGTTGGCATATGTTGGGTTGAAAGGATTGAAAGGGGCTATGTGAGCACATCTCCACAATGATTGCACATTCTAGTTTTTTTTTTTTGCGGGGGGCATACCTTTGATACCAACAGTTAGATGGCACATTGACAGGGAATCCTATGGAAAGGGAGGCGATACAGTGGACAGCTCCTATGTGCCAACTAAGTGGCCCACCTTCTATATGGTAACCCCACACGTTTTTTTTTTTACTATATAATTAACTATTTACTGTATTGGCTGGCAAAAAACAAGGACTCATTTTTGTGATTATAGGTAACCACTTATATAACGAATCACTCATCCCAGAGCCCAGAGCTAACAAAGGGGTCGTGGCAATGGTGTTTAAGAGTTCGCAACAAACATCAACAAACAATTCGCAACGAGTGGGGGATCATTATCTTTCTCCCTTTGATTTGGTTTTTCATTGATCGTTTCATGAGACTCTTTGGGATGATCAAATAAAGTAACATTAATCTGGTTGGTGGTTTGGAACATGAATTTTATGACTTTCCATATTGATTGGGAATGTCATCATCCCAATTGACGAACTCCATGGTTTTTCAGAGGGGTAGGTCAACCACCAACCAGATATACATATATATATATATCCCATCATATAACCATATATAACCACCATTATTGGTATTATAACCACTATTATTATATATCAGCCATCTATAATGTTTTTTTTTCATAGGGATGATCAACATGGGATGATCATGATTCGATCATCCCGGGAAAACCAACATGGAAACATGAAAAAAAATGATCCCAACAGAATCCTGCAATTTTTGAACATGAAAAAATAGAGAAACTTATGATAGATCTGCGGATTTGTATGATTTATGGTTACTCTATTTTCGGACACACACTAGACAAGAATGGATCATTATATGATCCGGCAGGAACTGAATCCTGAAACATGCAAATCTGATCCTGAATAGTTTCCACGTCCACGATCTTCATCAAAAATACATCGGCGACGAGGTTTTGACGAAATAATCCAAATACATCGGCGACATGGTCGGCGAAATAATCCAAATAATCGAAAATACTATCGGCGACATGATCTCGGCGAAAATACTGAGGAAGGTTCTGATGCAGCTGAACTAATCGTAAATGTCAAAATTGATTCCAGATTGCGACAACAGTGCAGTAAAAGGACATGTCAAATGAAACGGCAAGGTGGTTCTTGGGTTATCCACATCCCATCACGAAAACACAACCTGATGCAGGTACGTCCAGCTGGCCAAGCTGGATATCCCATTTCACTGGTAGCTTCGTTGGACACAGTCCCAGTGAAATGCTGTGTCCCCCTGCACTAGGTTTAAAAAGGGAGAGGACAGAAGGAAGAAAAAGAGAGAAGTTTTACATTATTCAGATGTTACACACACACACCCGGCCAGAGCCGGGTCAACCCTGAAAGGCAAGAGGAAGAAAAAAGCGGACACACGAAGGGCAAAAGGCCAAAAACAGCGCAGGGGGGGAGGGGAACAGACGGACCTCCGGAACCAACCTACACGGCGAAACGGACCTGACCAAAACAGCGCACGCACCTAAACCCCACGACACATTACGGAGAAGCACGCGGGGGAATTAGGGACCAAATGGGGACTAGTTGATGACAGACAGGAAAACCAAAACAATTAGTAAAACCACAGGATTCAGCTCCTAGACCTAAAGTTCGTGCGTTGTGCCAATCCAGGCCCGTGTTCAAGTCAGCCACAAGGGCATATAACGGCTTTCAAGTTCCAGCGAATTAGGTGCACGATATGTTTCACCTCACCAGACAACCATCAAAAGAAAGAGGACCACACCTGGAAGTCGTGTGCCTGCCTGGTTCCTTTGTCATGGCATGATGCTGTGTCGCTGTGACATTGCTGCAAAAAAGGAGGTTTCTGAATGTTCAGCACGGCTTCACAGTCACAGAGGTGTATTCCACGAGGTTTCACAAGGGACCGCAGGATCAGCGGGACACTCAGAAAGTGGTGCAAAACGGAAAGGCCAGCTGTTGCACTTTACTTAAACGAATTACCAACTTAAAATGTGTTAATTCGGCAGTCAGGACAGTCATCACTCACCCTAAAGAGGGTTGCCTCAAATGGCTCCATGGCACCATGTCGGAGCCACCATGGAAATCACACTAGACAAGAATGGATCATTATATGATCCGGCAGGAACTGAATCCTGAAACATGCAAATCTGATCCTGAATAGTTTCCACGTCCACGATCTTCATCAAAAATACATAGGCGACGAGGTTTTGACGAAATAATCCAAATACATCGGCGACATGGTCGGCGAAATAATCCAAATAATCGAAAATACTATCGGCGACATGATCTCGGCGAAAATACTGAGGAAGGTTCTGATGCAGCTGAACTAATCGTAAATGTCAAAATTGATTCCAGATTGCGACAACAGTGCAGTAAAAGGACATGTCAAATGAAACGGCAAGGTGGTTCTTGGGTTATCCACATCCCATCACGAAAACACAACCTGATGCAGGTACGTCCAGCTGGCCAAGCTGGATATCCCATTTCACTGGTAGCTTCGTTGGACACAGTCCCAGTGAAATGCTGTGTCCCCCTGCACTAGGTTTAAAAAGGGAGAGGACAGAAGGAAGAAAAAGAGAGAAGTTTTACATCTATTCAGATGTTACACACACACACAAATGGTGGAAAAGATACCACAAAAACCAAGAGCAACAGAGATAGAACAGGCAAATAAAGGAGACGTAATCAACAATATCCAAAATGGCACTTTTAACATTGTGAAATAACCAACAATAACCAACATGTTCACGATTAAACCAGCATTTACTCAGGTAAATCTCAGACAGTCAGACAATGGGAATCAATCTCCATGGAAGACGCAACCTAAACACCATGGACATTCGGTGAATTCCCATATGGTTTCCATGGATTTCCATTGAAATGGGCATGTGCTTCCCTGCCCCATCTGGACTGATGATCCGAATTTCCAAGTTTTTTTTTTTTAAATAAGTTGGACATCGCCAGAAATGCCGGGTGATTGCATTGCCAAAACATCATGACTGGCCAACGGTTCTGAATGGGTCAATCTGAAAACCGCTCCGGGATCGTTGAGAAAAAACAAGAGCCTTTCTCAACATGACCAACATGACCCAAACAAAGAAACACTCGGATTCCACCAATTCCATCCAATTCCAAGCTTTGCCATTTGACACCGTCCCGAGTGGGGGGGCAAAATCGACAGTTTCAACATGTTTCAACAATTTTGCACGGGGAACTCACCGATCTTTTCCCCATGTTGACATGTTTTTCTCATTTCCAGGAGTAAATTCTAAAAGTTGCCATTTAGTTTCCCTAAAATTTCCATGTTTTAGGGTAAATTCAATGTAACTTCGAATGAATTTGTCTGGAAAGAGGGTACCTCCAACTTTTTTCCCCCTCAAATTCCATGTTTTACTAAGGGTAAATTCTCTGGAAAGAGGTTACCTCCAACTTTGATAGATATTTGATAGCTTGTGATCATGTTCCCTAGCATTTTGGGCCTTTTTCGAGCTCACTTTTTCAACCCAGCTACCAGTTCTCCTGGCCAGGCCTAGCAACAGCTATCAGCTGGGACCTGCGGCTCGGAGCCGATGATTTCCCTGGGATCTCATGGGTCATGGGATGATTATGGCAATATAGATACCCTCTGGAAAACCATAGGAAAACCATAGGAAAACCATAGGAAAATGGAGGTTTACCCTCTGGTTATGTCAAAATAGCTATTGAAAATGGCCATAGAAATAGTGAGTTTTCCCATCAAAAATGGTGGATCTTTCCATAGCTACGTTAAATTACCAGAGGGTTTATATATGACCACTATACACTATACTTAGATAGGCCCTGGGTTTTTTGTGAACTGGTGAGAAACTGGCTTATAACTGACATTAACTGACAAGATTGATAATAACCCAGTTACTAATCACTTGCCTAATCCCAGGGCCCATCTAAGTATAGGGTAAACTATGGTAAACGAATCTAGTATAGATGTGGAAACCGCATTGGGGAAACCCTAGGAAAATAATCTACACATGATGGATTTTGTACATCTATGTTAGATTACAGCAGAGTAAACGTGGGGTTTTTCATAGTTTATTTGTAACAGCTGAGTTGGTTTATGACTAGGCTAGCTCGATCAATCCTTGTAGGGGGATCGAAATGTGGCCATTAGATTCGGATCCCAAAAAAATATGACACCCCCAGTGGACTGCTTGTTGGTTCATAAACGCATCTAACACAGTTATAATTATCATTCATTACCAGAATCCCCAGTTATCCTATAGTGTTAATCACCAATATACAATCCATATTCCATATACATGTGTTAGTTATGTCGAAGTGTTGTCCTGTAGCTTGTATCAACATAATCTGGTTGGTGGCTTGGAACATGAATTTTATTTTTCCATCTATTGGGAATGTCATCATCCCAACTGACGAACTCATATTTTTCAGAGGGGTAGGTATACCACCAACTAGTATTTTTTATTTTCCATAATATATGGGATGTCATCCTTCCCATTGACGAACTCATATTTTTCAAGATGGTTAGTTTACCACCAACCAGTCATTGTCTTAATTTCATAGTCCAGTCGTATCATTTTTTTGAAATGGACCACCAACCAGGTAGCATATAATCCCTTCAGAGGGGTAGGTATCAGAGGTAGCATATATACCACCAACTAGTAATGAGTAGCATATAATCCCCATGTTAACCAATTAGTAATTAGTAGCACAAAAAAACCATCCCATACTATCAATGGCCATTTCAGGAACCTAAATTGGAGGTACCTACCATATGTAAGGCCTATTTTTCAGGCCTAAATTTCAGGGAATATCCCCACAAAATATAGCCCAAAATATGGTACTAACGTACCTCCATTTTAGGATCCTGAAATTACCATTGATAACATGACCATACTATTAGTAATTTTTGTAATTCCTATCCCCTAGTTATAATCCCCATGTTAACCATAAAAAACCATCCCATACCCTCTGGTAAATTAACATAACTATGGAAAATCACCATTTTTAATGGGTAAATCCACCATAAATTGCCATTTTCAATAGCTTTTTGTATGTTTACCAGAGGGTACTATCTTGGGGGCCCAACAGCCAGGCCATAGGTATCGGTAGGATGAGTTACCCGTTACCCGTGATCACCGACGCCCAGGTGATGCCCAACAGCGAGGGCTGTTCCGAGGAGTTCTGGTGACTTGGCAGACCTGGCCGTTGCGGGAGCGGGCCGTTGAACGCAGCACCGGTATAATATGGGTCATATATTGATCATAACGATTGGGATTAGTTTATGTTTATTTAACATATGGATGAGTTGTTGGTGATATAATTATATATATAATACATATATATATACAATATATATATATGGTGTTTATAAAAACAACAAACATCATCAACTGATGCTGGGTACTTTTCTCAGACCATCCCACGGTGCTCAATCTGTGGTGCAGCCGTTCGGATTCTTTGGATCCGCCAAGTGAAGTCTCGGGACCAGTAGGGATTTTGGTGAATGTACCCTCTGGTAAACTAACAACCCATAGGTTTAACCATAGGTTTACCATAGGAAAATGGAGGTTTTCATGGGAAAACCATAGGAAAACCATGGGAAAATGAAGGTTTACCCTCTGGTAAACGTTTACATAACTATGGAAAGATCCACCATTTTTAATGGGAAAAACTCACTATTTCTATGGCCATTTTCAATAGCAAACTGTTAGTTTACCAGAGGGTACATTTTTGAAGGGGCCAGCAGCTGGGGTAGTTCACCCTGGGATCAGCCACGAATCGGGTGACCAGATGGGATTTGAACCACTTAAGCCAAGGGTGAGGTTGCCTTGTGTGCCAAGTTCCTGGAAGTTTGTAAATTGTGAGTCCCTAAACCCCATGTTGGTGATTCACCACATCCTTTATTGTAGATTGAATATGGCAGTCCCGCTGTTTTCACACTCATGAATCAATGGGAGTTCTCCGGGATCCTAAAATGGAGGTACGCTAGTACCATTTTTCAGGCCATATTTTGCTGGGATATTCACTAGGCCTGAAAAATAGGCCTTAAAAATATATGGAATCGGTACCTCCAATCAATCGGATCCTGGAGTTGCCATTGAATGAAGATCCCATATATTCATCCATATATTCATCCATATTCTATCTGAGCTATCTGCTTGAAGATGGCTCTTTGTTCATAAATAGAATATGGATGAATATGGGATCTTCATAAATATTCATCCATATTCATCCATAGATATATTCTATATCAGCTATGTTCACATAGTCCCCACGCGTCTTACGTCGCCGTGTCGTCGTCTACGTTCAACGCTGCTGCCGCTGTCAGGTTGGTGAACCCCACGGATTATCCCATCGAGGTGGGCCAGTGGGCCATATTCATCCACCAGCTATGAATTTTTGGGTACCCGCATGACTGCCATGACTTAGGAAACATCCATAATATATATATATATATGATTATCCATGATTAAGATATATATGTTTATGATGGATAGGAAACATCCATATATATATATATATATTTCGTGATCTGGATAATCACATATATATATATATAATATATCACCATCATCCATGATTAGACAGAAATTATCCATGATCCATCATCATCACGCTCACTTCTGTAACTGTGTAACTTCTGTAAATAGATATGTCATAAGCACTCAGACAAATTGTTTTTGGTCTACAAAATGATAGACCAAGAAATATGCCCAATTTTCTGTTATATACGGGTCTGATATTGAGTTTACCACAGCAAATGATAAATTGGCCAACAAAGATGAGATTATCACTGGACAACTTAATTGGTTCTCGGAAGACGTCCAAGCCTTAAGGCCACCGGTTGACCGCTTTTTGCGCAGATTCTGGCCTCAAATCACAACGAATGGGTTAAATGATAGCCACTCAGGGCGAAATTGGTCATGTTATCAATGGTAATTTCAGGATCCTAAAATGGAGGTACTGTACCATATAAGGCCATATTTTGTGGGGATATTCCGATGTTCCCTGAAATTTAGGCCTGAAAAATAGGCCTTATATATTATGGTAGGTACCTCCAATTTAGGTTCCTGAAATGACCATTGATGTTACCTTTAAATTTACCCAAGTTACCTCCCTGGTACCTGGGATGTTTGGAGGATTCGCCTGAGGATGATGTACATATGCTATGGTTTACCCACTTATAAACATACCAAGCCTGACCATTCCAGGGCACTAATAACACCATGCCCCAAAATATGGTTTCATCATTGGGTTGCCACATAAAAAGTTTTTTTCTTTTAACCTAGGGGGATATCCCAAAAACCCGTCGATTGTAATTGGTCATGTTGGGGCGAACATTTTTTTCTGGACAGAATCATATATGAAAAAAAAATAGGAATGCAAAGTCCTACTAAGATAGTGTTGAAATTGGGTATAAGACATAGAATTGCGCAATTGTGGTAATAGATCCCATTCCCATCCTATTGTATCATATATATCATTGTATCCCACTAGATTCCATAGATTTCCATAGACAATTCCATAGAGAATTCCATTGACCCTCTGGTACTTCAACTCTTTGCTATGGAAAATCACCATGTTTAATGGCTAAATCCACGATTTCTATGGGCCATGTGAACAAGTTCAAAAAAAACTGTTTGACATAACCAGGCCGGGTAATCCCCAATATAGGTTTATAGATGGTTTACCTATTACCCTTTGGTAAACTAACATAACTATGGAAAATCACCATTTTTAATGGGAAAACTCACTGTAAATGGCCATTTTCAATAGCTTTTTGTATGTTTACCAGGCCGGGTAAATCATCGAAGTCCTGGGCTGCCCAGCTCGGTTGGATCGATCAGGTCTTTAGCACGGAGTTTGACCAGAAATATCTCGCGGAGGATGGGGCGCCCCCTGGTGAAACCATGATTTTTTCCATCTGTTTGGAGCCAAAAAAACCATGAAATCCATGGAAAAAATATGGAAAATTGGGACTTTGACCCTGTAATTTTTCGTAGTTTTACTGAGTTCTCATGGGTTTTATGGATGTGTGGATTTGGTTCTCTGGATCCGGCCATTGAAAACAACCAGTGGCAACGGGGGAATTCTGCTGATTTTTGGCTGGTTGGTGACTGGAACCATGGAATTTTGAATGACTGCAACCAGAAACAGTTGGGATGGTTTGGAACATGAATTTTATTTTCCACATATTGGGAATAATCATCATCCCAACTGACGAAGTCCATCATTTTTCAGAGGGGTTGGTTGAAACCGCCAACCAGTTGGACACCAGCGATGCTGAAGGAATGCATGCTGCATATGATCAGATCTCACTAGAGGTTGACCTCGGCGTCACAATGAGAAGGGTTGGGGAAACTATCACTTAAATCAGCCTTAATTTAGGTGAGTGAATTATATACCGGTTATCCATGTTTATCCGGATTCATGCTGATTCATGTCGCATATCTTTTCTTGTTCGATTTTGAACGATCTACAACATGTCACCAACACACATGATGGCCTCGAATACGGAGTGTATGACCCTTGAAACAAAACGGAATATCAATGATGATTCAATGATGATTCTTTTCCAGGGGAAAAAAAAACAATCATTGATATATTTTAATATTTTTTAATATATTATATGATATTATATCATATTATATTATATAATATTATATATATACACACACACACTGTACATTTGCTTTTATTTCGTACTGGAAAATACTGGAAACCCTCCCAGTAGCCATCAAAATTGGTACTTGACCCTGTAACTATGTACTTTCACCCACTTTGATGGGTACTAGGTATATATGAAAATATCACATTCCCAAGCTTTGTCCAGAATTCTCACCGCAGGAACGCGCCCTCGCAGATTACGATGGCTGGAAGCAGCGGGGTATGGCCGAGGCGTTTCTGGCACAGAGTAGATCGGAGTGATGTTTGAAGCATCCTCAGATGGGCTCTGGGATTAATCAGCTGACCAGTAAATGGCTCAAACCTGACTAAATAATGGATTGGAACTAGTTCCTACCCATTTAAAGGGGTGACTGGTTGGTACCCCGGTTACAAGCTTTTTCTTTTGCTCATCTAACTATCATGGGTTTGTTTCGTCGGTGGTTTGGCTTACTTTCTCAATGGTAAATTCACGAATCTTGTGGAGTCTGTAGGGAACATGTTTTATTTTGTTGGGCTTCCTTACCTAAACAAATCCAAGCTATATTTCTGATATAGTTTTAATTCTAATAGCCATAAACCCTGGTTGACCTATAGTTAAAATCCAAGTCAGCTATCCAGAACATACGTACGTGAACAATAGACCACTTGGTGGTTCACCCCATGAATCCGAACTTTTTCTATTTTTGCTTGGCCTATAATTAATGTCTATAAGCAAGTTATATTATAACCCACTTAAAGGATAACCCAAGCAAACCCAGTCATGGGATAGCTCACTATTTAAGGGGACTTTTTTCAAGCTGATGTTACGATAGCACCAAGTGCTCTTTCAGGGGTGATCTTCCAAGATGCTATCCCACTTTTGGTCATCCAAAGAACAGGAAAGTCGCCATGCTTTTTATGGGAATGAGATTGAACATCAACATCATCCTGGCTTTGTTGAGTCGGTGATTGGGCTTATTTTCCCAATGGAAAATCCACCATGACTGGGGAATCTATAGTGAATATGTTTTTATTTTTTGGGGACCCCTTAAGCAAATCCAAGTCATCTTCCATTGGAGATTGCCCAGTGCTATGTTGGATTAGTGATGAAACCTGGAGAAATTGCTGACATGATGTTCGGTTTGTATCTGCGATGGCTATGGATCAATGCCTATATTAGTATGTTTTATTTTTTTCTATATTTTGCATCCATGAAATACCACCTATGTTGAAATAAACATGTAGAATGAACTGACATGAACTAACCCAGAAGGATGTATATATTCCCCAGTAGAAATTGGAATTTAACCAAGAAAAGCTGTGTTTTGAAGCAAGCTAATTGGGATTTTAACCAAGAAAGAATGGTTTTGAGGCAAGCAAAAATGGATTTTAATAGCTCAGAGACATTGAATTTTCACCAAGAACCATGGGGACTTAAATAGTTGATCATAGTTGATTTGAGTTGACTAAGTTGGCTCATGACTTCAATAACTTTTGGGTGTGTGGTAGAGATATCCAACTACAGTAGTCAATGGGAACTACAAACCAACAAACATAACTGGCGGGGATCTGGGATTGAAACACCGTGTTTGAAGGTTGATGAAGTGGGATGATTCTGGGATAATCATAGCTTTCACGCTAGGTTTTCCTACGGTAAACGTGCAGTTGGACACTTGGAACAGAATTTGGGGATGGGATTTTCCTATGAGATGATACCTGTTCGTCAGACGTTTATACCCCCAAGTTTGCACAACATTTATAAACACCATCAAACGTCTACCAAACAACATGTTGAAATCATTCAACATCTACAAAACAAAACTTATATGGCGTCATCCAGATTCAGCACTTTAAACTCATCCACAATCTACCTCCAACAACAAAAAAAGGTTTGAGCCTATTCAAAATCCATTGAATCATCAATGAAAGTGAAAATCATCGTTAAATGAACTCATACCAATGAATATTAAATAATTGAATAGTTAATTTATTTGACAATGATCAGCTGTTTAACGATGAATTTACCCTCTGGTAAACGTTTACATAACTATGGACAGATCCACCATGCTATTCATGGGAAAATTCCCTATTTCTATGGCCATTTTCAATAGCTATGTTAGTTTACCAAAGGGTAGACCTCCATTTTCCTATGGTTTTCCTATGGTTTTCCTATGATCAATAGCCATTTTCAATAGCTTTTTGTATGTTTACCAGGCCGGGTAACATTCGAACTTCATGGAAAACCCACCATTCCCGTCTTATCAGCCAGGTGGCCGTGCGCCAACCGGGCGATGGAACCTGGCAGGAGGCCGGGAAACCAGACCTGAACCGGTGGCTGGGTACCCAGTCATTGTTAACATTTAAGAACAGTAATTAACAGTTGGTCATTGTTTCAATGGGAATTTCAGGATCCTAAAATGGAGGTACTGTACCATATAAGGCCATATTTTAGGGGGATATTCCCTTACATAGGCCTTACACAGGCCTTATATATGGTAGGTACCTCCAATTTAGGTTCCTGGAATGGCCATTGATTGTTATCATTTAACATAGCTATGGAAAATGACCCATTTATAGATGATGTAGCCATTTATAGATGATTAATGAGATGATAGATGGTATACCAAAAATGGTTGCTGGTTTGGAACCATGGATTTTTTTGCTTTCCATTCAGTTGGGAATAGTCATCCCAACTGATGAACTCATATTTTTCAGAGGGGTAGGTCAACCACCAACCAGATTAACAGTTCATTATCTGGTTGGTGGTTTCAAACATGTTTTATTTTCCATAAAATTTGGGATAATCCTTTCCATTGACTTTCATATTTTTCAAGATGGTTAAAACCACCAACCAGTTATAGTTGGCCATTAACAGTCATTGTGAATGATAACACTTAATAAGTTTCATTTAATAACTAACATTGTTAATACAACAGTAATTATGTTTGGCCATTGACAATGTACTGATTAGCAACGATAGTTATTAACTGGTATGGCTCAATTGTTCATTGTCATTGTTAATACGATCATTGTTTAGTCAGTCTTAAGTTCATGGATTTTACTTGAGGTATCTTGAGGTATCTTGAGATATTAATGGGAGTTCACAGGGTTTTTGTTTCATGGATTCTAATTGGACTTACCCTCTGGTAAACTAACATAGCTATGGAAAATCACCATGTTTAATGGCTAAATCCACTATAAATGGGCCATTTTCCATAGCAAACTGTTAAATTACCAGGCCGGGTATATTTTTTTCATGGGACGAGTATGGAATTTCATGGGACGATCTGTGAATTTCATCTGGGATTATTGGTATATACCTGGGTCAATTAAAAAACGACCGAAGCCCGTTCTCCCGAGCCCTGGTTCATCATGGTGTTTATAGGGGACCCTGGAATCATGGTGTTTATAGGGGAATCATCCCCTATTTTATGGCCTTAAGATTCAGGTTAGTGACTATTTAAATTAGAACTACCCAGATATACTCTCTGGTGTCATCGTGGCCAGCTGGAAAATGCATGAACTAAATGGAGGTTCTGATTTGAAAATCATCTACCAATAAATACACCACGTTTCCGGAGGCTACAGTAAGTAACTACAATACTGTAACTATAGTTAGATTGCATTATAAGCCAACAAACAGAACTGGGGGGGACCACATTGTAGGAGTGCATCCCAGCTATTTTTAGTTGGAAAACAGTTTGTTAGAGGTTATTCCCCTATTACATCATCTTACATCATCTTACATCCGAGTAGATACACCTTTCCGGGTCCTTGGCATTTGTGTATTGGGAAGGGGGATGAGTGGATGTTTTTGGTATGTGTCCCCATGCATACTTTTGAATCTGGCCACACAGCAAGTCTTAGCTCCAGAGCGTCGCATTCCTGGAGAAGAGACAGCCCTACACTTTCTGTAGAACTGTGATCAATGGGGATATAGTGGGACAGAATCGGATTTAGTGGTGTATATATGTATATATAATATAATATATATATATTATATATATAATGTATATATATATATACTATATTTGGTAATTATGGGGATACAAGAGGAAGATTTTTGATTTTGGGGTATATCGGAAGCAGCTGAGATTAAGAGGAATGTAGTGGGATATCCCGGATATCCCCCAATGCTTGGTTCCATGGGACATGATGGGGAGGTGATGCTGTGCCCCGCATTCTTTCCTGTTGCAGAGCAATGATTACCGGCGGCCACCAATTGAAGGGTGAGTACTGTCATGGGGACAACATCAGAATGGGATAGAAGAATTGCGGGAATGAAGTATTTTGAAAATAATTTGGATCACTGCATATTTTCTATAATGGTGTATGTAATCAACAAGATAATGTGATAGATTGAATGCAATAATTGTGTTTTATCGACAACTTAGTGGGCATCCGATTAGTCAACGGGCGTAGGTAAATCAATACCCTCCGGTGTCAGGCAGGACCTGCCTAGAAGGGGAGCTGAAGCACCACTTTAAGAGCGGGACGCATGCAAAGTTCGATGTGAGAGGGCAGCTCCCAAACGACCCAAGTAAGAGCAACTGGGCTTAAAAGTTTTTTGCCCAAAAGATGCCAGATGCTACCAGATGCCAGCTGCTGGTGGTGGCGTGACTGGGCTGGTCAGTTGGTGGAGCCTTGCTACATCAAATGTCGATGGTGTTGGGCATACTTTGGAGCTTCAGCCGATTTTTGCCGATGACGATGACACCTACGTCTTGTCGATCTGCTGTTACTTGACTGACTTTACCAAGATCAGATGTTCAGGCTCTAACATGATGGACCTTTATCACCAATGATAGGCTCGAATGATCAAACATGGCTGGCTTGGAACCCCCTTGGAAATAGTCTACTAATGGTGGATTTTCCATTGCCACGTTTGCTTACCTCAATATACGAATTTAGTAGAATTTAGTGCCAATTAGTCGGGGTTGTCCTGCAATGGCATGTTTGAAAACCAAAGAAATAATGCGGTATGATTTAGCGAGCAATCAAAAGCAATGGGTTTGTCTTCCCAAATTCTGGTATCAAATATGTGTAATATTGTGTAATTATAGTATGTTCTGAGCGGGCCGCCGGGCCCGTAGCCATATTTTGTTTTCATGTTTGTCAAAAGCGTATGGATTTGCATAGAGTATCCCATGGTATCCTTCAATGTGAGGCCCCCCAGTGATGTTTGTTGGTTTAGATTCGCCCCAGTTACTATAGTTATTTGCGTACCATAAACCATAGGCAAATTGGAGTTATTTGCACCAACTTAGCCATCGAACGGGTGCCTCACATTGTTACAAACAATGACAAGTTTCCTTCATGACTTTAAAAGGGTGGTTTTTGGATCCGTCTCATCCCAGGGGATTCACAGGGAGTCTAAAAAATGGGCTAGTCCCAAAGTCCCTTAAATTGATGGTTTATCATGGTTTATCACTTTAGAACATCATTTTTATCACTTTAGAACATCATGTTCCTGGATTTTTTTCTCTATGAAAAAGCGGCCGAAAACAACCATATACTTTTCCACAATTGTCCCGTACTTTTCTTCCATCACTTCTCCCATCATTTTCCCAGCGGTTCCAGCGGTCACGTCGCAGGTGGCGACACAGGTGGTCCAGCTCCGCAAGCAACGGATCCAAGAGGTCCGGAGCATCGGAGCGGTCCGACGAACTGGTGGAGACCCCTTCCGGAAGGTGATTCAATGATATAACCATAGGAAAACCATAAAACCATAGGAAAACCATAGGAAAACCATAGGAAAACCATAGGAAAACCATAGGAAAACCATAGGAAAACCATAGGAAAACCATAGGAAAACCATGGGAAAACCATGGGAAAACCATGGGAAAACCATGGGAAAACCATAGGAAAACCATGGGAAAACCATGGGAAAACCATAGGAAAACCATAGGAAAACCATGGGAAAACCATGGGAAAACCATAGGAAAACCATAGGAAAACCATAGGAAAACCATGGGAAAACCATGGGAAAACCATAGGAAAACCATAGGAAAACCATAGGAAAACCATAGGAAAACCATAGGAAAACCATAGGAAAACCATAGGAAAACCATAGGAAAACCATAGGAACACCATAGGAACACCATAGGAACACCATAGGAACACCATAGGAACACCATAGGAACACCATAGGAACACCATAGGAAAACCATAGGAAAACCATAGGAAAACCATAGGAAAACCATAGGAAAACCATAGGAAAACCATAGGAAAACCATAGGAAAACCATAGGAAAACCATAGGAAAACCATGGGAAAACCATGGGAAAACCATGGGAAAACCATAGGAGAACCATAGGAAAACCATAGGAAAACCATAGGAAAACCATGGGAAAACCATTAGGAAAACTATTAGGAAAACCATAGGAAAACCGCAGGAAAACCATGGGAAAACCATGGGAAAACCATAGGAAAACCATAGGAAAACCATAGGAAAACCATAGGAAAACCATGGGAAAACCATAGGAAAACTATAAAACCATAGGAAAACCATAGGAAAACCATGGGAAAACCATGGGAAAACGATAGGAAAACCATGGGAAAACCATAGGAAAACCATAGGAAAACCATAGGAAAACCATAGGAAAACCATAGGAAAACCATAGGAAAACCATAGGAAAACCATAGGAAAACCATAGGAAAACCATAGGAAAACCATAGGAAAACCATAGGAAAACCATAGGAAAACCATAGGAAAACCATAGGAAAACCCATAGGAAAACCATAGGAAAACCATAGGAAAACCCATAGGAAAACCATAGGAAAACCATAGGAAAACCATAGGAAAACCATAGGAAAACCATAGGAAAACCATAGGAAAACCATAGGAAAACCATAGGAAAACCATAGGAAAACCATAGGAAAACCATAGGAAAACCATAGGAAAACCATAGGAAAACCATGGGAAAACCATGGGAAAACCATGGGAAAACCACAGGAAAACCACAGGAAAACCATAGGAAAACCATAGGAAAACCATAGGAAAACCATAGGAAAACCATAGGAAAACCATAGGAAAACCATAGGAAAACCATAGGAAAACCATAGGAAAACCATAGGAAAACCATAGGAAAACCATAGGAAAACCATAGGAACACCATAGGAAAACCATAGGAAAACCATAGGAAAACCATAGGAAAACCATAGGAAAACCATAGGAAAACCATAGGAAAGCCATAGGAAAACCCTAGGAAAACCATAGGAAAGCCACACGAAAACCATAGGAAAACCCTAGGAAAATCATAGGAAAACCATAGGAAAACCATAGGAAAACCACAGGAAAACCATAGGAAAACCCTAGGAAAACCATAGGAAAACCATAGGAAAACCAAAGGAAAACTATAGGAAAACCCTAGGAAAACCATAGGAAAACCCTAGGAAAACCATAGGAAAACCATAGGAAAACCATAGAAAACCATAGGAAAACCATAGGAAAACCTCAAAACCCTAGGAAAACCATAGGAAAACCAGAGGAAAACCCTAGGAAAACCATAGGAAAACCATAGGAAAACCCTAGGAAAACCATAGGAAAACCATAGGAAAACCCTAGGAAAACCCTAGGAAAACCATAGGAAAACCACAGGAAAACCATAGGAAAACCCTAGGAAAACCATAGGAAA